GAAGATGTTACCAGAGATGCTCAACACAAAGTCCTGTGAAAATGATACAACGTTCCAAGCAGATGGTTACGATAGAGATTTAGCTACAGGATGGGCTGGGCATAACCCAGGGCCCACTGCTGTTTCCCGATTTTCCCTGGCTCTGCCCAGCTGCTGCCCCAACCCTGACTTGTGGAGAACCACGGTCCCGCAGGTCCCCTCCCTGGGAGACCCACCAGCTCCACGGAGGGCAGGCTGGGCCATTGGGGGACACCTCACAAGGGGGACCCTGCCTGGGGCGAGGAGCTGGGAGGGTGCCAGGGCTGGCTGGAGGGATCTGATTACCAGGTCTCTCTCCAGATCCAGGTCTCCTCCTGCGGCCCCGGCCCACATGTGCTAACCACTAGACCCCACTCTCCCTCCAGAGCTGATAATAGAACCCAAGAGTCCTGGCTCCCAGCACCCCTCACTCTAACCACAAACATTTGTGCGTCTAACCCAGTGGATCCCGCTCATCCCCAAAACTGTATTTTCCAGGAAATACGGAAATGATTGTTTTCATTCCTTTGCAGAACAATCCACACACCCACCCCACTACACCCCGCGACATTCCCCATGAAATGAAAACTCTGGTTCCCAGCGAGCTCTGCCTTATTATCTCCCCAGAACCCAGGAAGAGGTTAATTAACTTCCTCCCCCTAGGAGGCTGGGGCAAGATTGACGCTTCCCTGGCAAGTGTGGAGAGACTGATTGATCCAATCTCATGCCTGCGCAGCCAGTCGGCAGGTTCCCAGCAAAGATGGTAGGAGAGGAGAGAAACGGTGAGAGAAACACCGTAGGCGTGTCAGGCTGGAAGGCATCCTGTGAGGGCCCCAGGTCCCGTCTCTGCAGGACCAAGCACCATCTAGCCCATCGCTGACAGGTGTCTGTCCAACCTGCACTTCAATATCTCCAGGGATGGAGATTCCACAACCTCCCCTGTCAATTTCTCCCAGCGCTTTACCACCCTGACCAGAAGTTTTTCCTAATGTCCGACCTCAACCTTTCTTGCTGCAGTTTAAGCCCATTGCTTCTTGCCCTGTCCGAAGTGGTGAATTTCTCACACCCTTCTTTATAAAAACTTTTTACCTACTTGAAACCTGCTCTCATGTTCCCCCTCGCATCTCTCCTGCCGACGAAACAAATCCAATTTTTTTCATTTGTCCCTCCCAGTCCCTGTTTTGTAGCCCTTGCTTTGTGTTTGTAGCTCTCCTCTGGCCATTCACCAGTTTGTTAACATCTGGTCTGAAATCTGGCGCCCAAACTGGATAGAGGGCTCCAACTCCATCAGGGAGCTGTGCACGGGAGAACGACTCCTTGTGCCTTGCTTCCCTCACTCCACAACCGCCAGTTTTAGACTCGGGGAGATGTGGTATCAGCTCTCCCAGTTTTGAGTAATTGTCAAAGTCATGATTTGCTAAAAGAGCAGAGTAGTTCGATATTCTGAGTTGTAAGGTGGAAGAGGAGTATACCTTCTTGCCAAAGGAGTCCAGCTTTTTGTGGTCCTTGTCTGCGTTGCCCAACTTGTATTGTGGGATCTTTGCACGTTGTTGCGCTGAATCCACTACTAACGAGTTGGGTTGTGGGTGTGTGAAAAGAAAGTCGTTGTCTTTTGATGGGACAAAGTACTTCCTATCGATTCTTTTATTCGTTGGTTGCAATGGCTATTGTTCTATTTCTTAACTATTAGCAAAATATAGGTCTTAAAATGGTTACAAAGAAGATAAAGATAGAAAAATAGAAATAATGGTACCAAGTAACAGCTTACTCTTTCTATGTGTACACTTAAGACAGAGGACCACATCCAGGTACCATTTTTACCCCCTTCTGTGCCTCTCGACTCCAGCATGTCAGGCCAGGGCCGGTCCCTCAATTCCTAGGAAAGACGAAAATACGAGGTGGGCGTCCCCATAGAACCTCGGGAGGTCAAACACCTAACCCGACCAGCAGGTAGAGGGTAGAATGACACTCCAAGTGAGTGTGTGCTGGACCTATCTTATATACTCATGGGGTCACGTATTTCTCTTTCTTGTCTGTCATGCCAAATGGGGCTGGTCTGTCTTTTGTGAGACCAGTTCTTACAAGGGAGTTGTGAACTTAATTTACACTTGTAAGAGAGATAACTAAATTGGAATTACTGGGGATTCTTTTCTCAGTGGGAAATTCCTCTCCCAGGGACTATGTGTGTGTTCGAATCAACATGGGTGCCAGCCGGGAGCAGTTCTCGCAGCCTCGAGGCCAGCTTATTGACTTAATCGCTCTCTCTCCACATATCTGTTTTTTTCAGCTTCTCAGGATCAGATGAGCCAGCATAGACTATGCTGATTTTACTGCTCCTTCTCTGTCCTGCATGCTTCAGGAACCTCAGAGAGGCAAATAAGATGGATGTGATGGGCGGGGGAAGGAGGTGTCTGTCTGGCTACACCTGCGCTGGGTTTCCATTTGAGAAGCCACGTTGGCTGCTTTGGAGTTTCAGATGAGGGGAATATCCCACCGAGAAGTAAATAAAAGTTGCCCGGAAGCCCCTGCCCAAGGCTCCCCCTACACAGGCAGAGTGACCAGACGCAACAAGGAAGCAAGGAAGTTCCGATGCAAACAATGCCAAGAGGAAGAAGGAATGAAGAAGATGGAGGGTAGCCCCTGGGGCAATGGCCCCCACTCTTGGAGAGGGGTCTTGGCCGTGCCAGGCACAGCAGGGTCCCAGTCTGCACCCGGCACAATGCAGCCCGGCTCTTGGGTCAGGGCAGCACCTGGTGTGACAATCTGTGCCGTGGGCAGCTCCCCATACTCCATGCTCCTCTTTGGCATGGAATTGTGACATTGCATATATTTCAGCCCTCATGAGAGGTCAGGAGAGGCCGGGGTCAGCTGCAACCCGCTGTTCTGTCTGAGTGTGCGTGTCTTCAGTGCACAGGCCATGAGGAGATCGTGTTGTGCGGCTGTCACGGAACCATGCCGGGAGTTACGGAATTCGCCAGACAGCTGTGGAATTAGCTCCCCAGGGACGAGAGCAAGGAAAGTGGCTAAGCACAATCAGACCTGGAACTCGCTCAGGGTCTGGGCACGACCTGGCACAACAGGGCCCTGATCTCATTTGGGTCTGGGCAGCACCTGGCATGACGAGGCCCTGATCTCTGTCAGGTTTGGTGTGCTGCTAGGTCACATCTTACCCTGACTTTCTGTAGTTTCTGCTCTTTGCTTGCCCTTCTCAGGGCTGTGGTGTGTCGGGCTGGGGTGTCTCAGCCGTGGTCCCCAGCGTGACAGATGCAGCTCAGACAGGCTGACCGTGTGGGGGGCCAGGAAGCTGATTTTCGATGGGTTTCTGTGGGGCTCAGCAGAGGGGGCGGCGAGGGGGGCTGCTAGTGTCTGCAAACCTCACAGGCACCAAGCTTCTGCTGCTCTGCAGACTAAACAAACCCAAATCCCTCAGCCCCTCCTCATTGGTCATGTGCTCCAGCCCCCGAACCATTTTGGTTGCCCTCTGCTGGACTCTCTCTGGTGCGTACAAATCCTTTCTGTAATGGCAGCCCAGAACTGGACACAGTATTCCAGAAGTGGCCTCACTAGTGCCAAAGAAAGGGGAATAATCACTCCTCTAGATCTGCTGGCAATGCTCCTCCTAATGCCCCTCGTATGCCATTAGCCTTCTTGGCTACAAGGGCATCCTGTTGACTCATCTCCAGCTTCTCATCCACTGGAATCCCCAGGCAGTGGTCCCCAGCCAGTAGCAATGCTGGGGATTCTTCCATCCCAAGAGCAGGACTCTGCACGTGTCCTTGTTGAACCTCAGCAGATTTCTTTTGGCCCAGTCCTCTAATCTGTTTAGGTCACTCTGGACCCTATCCCCACCTTCCAACATATCTACCTCTCCCCCAGCTTAGTGTCATCCGCAAACTTGCTGAAGGTGCAATCCATGCCCCCAGCCAGGAGATACGTTGTCACCATCTCACTGGATGGGAACCCTGACCAGCCTTTGATCATCGTGTATCTTGGGAGAATTCTCCACTCTAGGGTCCCCTCTGTCCTGTGCCTAGTGCTTCGCCCTGCCCCACCATGCCCTGCCCCCAAATCACACCCAGTCCCTGTTCCCACACCCAGTCCCTGTTCCCCCGGGCTCTGCTGTCACAAGGATGCTCTGCTCTAGCTGAAGCGCTCAAAGCTCACAAGACAGGTACTTGTTAGCCCAGGGCTACTCAACACACGGCCTGTATGTTTGTGACCCGTGGAGCAGTTTGGTTTATATGGGGCTCAACAATTTGTCCACAGGTGGAATTCTTTGAACACGGCCTTCACTGGGAACACGCTCCACAGTGGTGAGGCGTCAAGACACAAGTGGACTGATTGCCTAGAACAGGGTGTCAGGGTTTCTAGCCCCCAGGGAGGAGGTGCTGGGAGCACCAGGGCATTGTGGGAAGTGCTTTGTATTCATGCCCACCAGTGTGAAGGAAACTGTGACATATATATTTGCATGTCTATGCAACCACAGTTAAGATGTGGCCCATGGCATGTGCTGTGAGTATCGTTGTGGTCCCCGGGGCTCACAAAGTTGAGTAGCCCTGTGTGAGTCTCTAAGGTGCCGGTGGTCTTAAAACCTCCCGATTGCTCTCAACCCTCACCGGGAGATGGAGGCCAATTCTGGGAGACTCCAGGCCAGTCCTGGAGGGTTGGTAACCCCAGATGTGACCTTTGGCCCTACTCCCCTCCCTGAACTTTAGATAGAACCCAGGAGTCATGGATCCCTGGCTCCCCTCCCCTGCTCTAACCACTAGACCCCTCCTGGAGCTCAATTTCCAAACAAGACATCTTTTACTTTTGTGACAAGGGCTTCTAATGTGCTCGTCACACCTTTGAGAGACCCCACTGCTACTACGAAGTAACCTGCCCTACAAAGAACTCCGTATTGTGAAGGTCTTTTTTTTTTTTTTGGTAAACAAAGACAGCAAATGCTTCTGTTCCAGATCTCTACTGCCTGTTGCCCTGTCTCAGCCCCCGTTCCAACACAATTCCCAGCTCAGAGATCTGCAGGCCACGATACTTATTTGGAACTTTCAATACAAGGCAGCGTTAAGGAGAGAAGCAGGGGAAGAAGGTGTTTGTGATTGTTCTCAGAGACCAAATGGAAGACCAAATGAAGACCCGATGTCTGCCGTGGGGTGCCCCCGACATCACTCCTGAGTGCAGAGAAATCTGTCTGTGGTAGTTTCGCTGAATGCATTTAATACAGAGAAATCAGTGAAGGACCCATTTCATCCTTCTTTGGCTTCCGTCCATCCTCATGGATGCATCAGTTCACAGTGTTTGAAGGAAACTCAAGGGGAAAGGACCACATGAGACTAGGCCATCTCTGCCAAGGGCATATTGGCACCAGCAGAGCTGAGTGCGGATCATGTCCATGGGAGGGCGGAGTCCTTGGGGTGCATTTTGCCCCTGTGGATGATGGGAAGAGGTTCAGGCTGACCTCAGCTACGGTTCCCAGTTCTCAGCCGAGGCACGGCTCCTAGGTGGCCAGGGATTCCATCTCCATACTGTATTTGCTCTTCGTGTTGGCTGTGGTGCTGGCGGCATCCTCGGTAAAGGCACTTTCGAAGGCAGAAAAGAGGGACCGGCGCAGCTTCTCCTTGAAGTCGTGACCCATGAAGACATAGAGGATGGGGTTGAGGCAGCTGTTGATGAAGGCCAGGCTGGTTGCCAAGGGGAGCCCGATGAAGACAACAGTGTGCAGGCTGAGGGTCCTGTGTAACTCCAGAAAGGAGAAAACATGGTAGGGGAACCAGCAGAGGAAGAAAGCCACGATAACGGCGGCGATGACCTTGAAGGGCTTACTAGACCGGGTCATGTGGCCCCGCCTTAGGCGGACCAAGATGGCACCGTAGCAGCAGATGATGACAGCAAAGGGGATGAGGAAGCCGAAGACAAAGCGGCTGATGGTCATGGCCTGGTGGTTCATGTGTCTAATCCTGACTCTCTCCACACTGGTGGCCCCTTCTGGGGCAGTGTTGAAATTATTGTAGCAGTTGATGATGTCCTTGTTATTCGGGGAGGGATCCGTGTGGCGAAAGTAGAGATTCGGAGAACACAAGACCAAGGCCAGGACCCACACAGCAGAGGCTACCAATAAAGCCAGGCGAGGCGTGCGGTGGTTCTGGGCCCACACTGGAAGCATGACGGAGATGCAACGGTCTATGCTGATGACCATGAGAAGGTAGACACTAGCGTAGAGGTTGAGGAAGGCCATGGCTGTGTTGATCTTGCACAGGGCCAGCCCGAAGGGCCAGTGGAAGCCCATGGCAGTGTAGGCCACACTGAGGGGGAGGAAGAAGGTGAAGATGAAATCAGCCACGGCCAGGTTGAGGAACCAGATGGTGTTGACGGTTCTCTTCATCCGGAAGCCGGTGATGAAGATGACCAGCCCGTTGCCCGTCACTCCCAGTAGGAAGGCGATGGAGTAGATCACCATGGAGAGCACATGTGTGCTCGGGAGCGGCGCTTGCTGCTGGGCATCATTGTCATAGTTTTCCCAAACTTCTTCATAAAAGCTCGTGGAGTAATCACTCGAGAGAGTTGTGGGGAGGGAGGTGCCCTTCGCAGCCATGGGAGTGTCTTCTGTTCTCTCCGTCGGACCTTTCTCCACCTGGAACACACCACCACAACCCCTCCGTTAGACATCTCCCCAAACAGCCTCCCAAGCAGCCGGTGCCTGGGTGGGAACATCAGTCCTCACAGGAACTCCCATGGCCTGTTGCCCACATTTACACTCAGCGAGACACTTGAATTAATAGAGAAAGGGGTTCAAGAGACGCTCCTGGCGCCTACCTCGTGAATTAATTTACTCTTTTCCCAGTCATTAGGTTAGGTCAACGTCTCCCAACTGAAGGATGGTGATAATTTGGAGAGGACTCAGGGGCATAATGGGAATTATTCAGATATTGGAACACCTGCCTTGTGAAAGATTCTAGGAAATCCAGCTCTCTGGCCTAACAAAGAGCAGTTGAGGGATGACATGATCCCAGTCTACAGGTACCTGCATGGAGAACAAATATTTGATCTTGGGTTGTTTGGTCGAGCAACCATGTGGGAATTCACCATGGGAATAACTTCCTAATGCCTCAGTAGGATACTGCATCACTGGCAGGTTCAAAATCAAGAAGGGATGTGGGAAATCCAGCTCTCTGGCCTAACAAAGAGCAGTTGAGGGATGACATGATCCCAGTCTACAGGTACCTGCATGGAGAACAAATATTTGATCTTGGGTTGTTTGGTCGAGCAACCATGTGGGAATTCACCATGGGAATAACTTCCTAATGCCTCAGTAGGATACTGCATCACTGGCAGGTTCAAAATCAAGAAGGGATGTG